TTAAGATATTTCTTACAGTTATATATGGTTCATAGACATATATACTTTGTTTCCTTTGCCGTAAAACCAACGCAGGATTTAAGATATTTCTTATGGTTATATATGTTTCATAGACATATATAATTTATAGCCTTTGCCGTAAAACCACCGCAGGATTTAATAGTTTCCAATTGATATATATGGTTCATAGACATATATATTTTTATTTCCTTTGCCGTAAGACCAACGCAGGATTTAATATTTTCGACATAATACCACCTTGACGAATGCTCATAAACTCGCGCCTTCTTAACAATTTCGCTGTCTTAAATACCCATACGCCGAAGCTTTCTTCTAGCGAATTTTAAATTTTCCCGTTCGTTTACCCATTGGGTTGTGCAGTGTAACCTCTGTGCTTACAATCTTTGCTGTAAAGCCGCTGCGCTTTTGTGTTTTGTTTTGACAGCCGCTTGTGTTTTAAATTATAAAAGTATTTTTTTTTTTAAAAAAAAAGTGTAAGTGATAAATATATTTATAAACAAAACATGAATGTAAACAAAAATATGAGTGTATAAAACTTAAGCGTAATTAATTAAAAGAATTTCAGTGATTTTAAATTAAGCCGGTACTAATGTTAATTTGTTTTGGTGGTAGTTTTGTTTATGTTGTAATATTTGCAAAAGAAATAAATTAAATATTACTTTCATGTTATACCGTAACAATTAATAAACTCTAGTTATTTTAGTAATTATCCAAATAGAAAACCAATGGAAAACTATGACGAAGTGTTGCTTGTGATGCGTTTTTTGTTTGTAGAAAAAAAACGTAATCAGTGGACAGTTAGTTGTTGTATATTTGTTTATTAAAAATATATTTGTAAAATAAATGTGTTTACTCTTCGTGTTGTAATTCAAATTTTATAATAAGTAAATAAAAATTTAATTTTTTCTTATAACATGTTCATGGTGTGTTTATATTCTTTTTTCTCTCTTCAGAGTTTCTTTTCAGTCTAGATATCAATGCCCGTGGCTCATCAGGCTGGAGGATCGCAGGTTATGTCAATATAATTTGTGGCCAAACATATTTTGATAAATTTTATTTTTTCCAGGTAATTACATCGTAGTTCAATTCAATTCAGTGTTTAATTATACTGTGTAAGGTATAATGCGGTTGTGCTTTTATGGCGACGGTCTGACATCGTTTTCCTCTTTACTTCTTATAGTATGTGCGGAAGAAATTTGATGTTCAAATTTGTTTCGTCACAGAACAAAATAGTGTCCTAAATTGGATCAATTTAAAATTAAAATAAATACCACGTCATTCAGCTCAAAATACACAAAAAGAGCAATTCTAAGTGATGGTGGAAAACTATTCGATCCATTTGGTTGGCTGTCACCTGTAACCATTAAAGCAAAAATCATTATACAAAAATTGTGGATGTTAGGAATTAGTTAGGATACAGAGATCCCACCTAATCTACAGGCACAATGGGAGCAATTTAAATTGCGATTACCTGCAGTTCAGAAAATTACCATGAAAAGATGGACACAACATTCAGAGAATAGTTTAATCGAGTTATATGGATTTACAGATGCATCAGAAACAGGATATGCTGCAGTTGTATACACAAAGATTATCAATGCAGAAAGGGCTACAATATCCCTAATAGCATCAAAAACCAAAGTTGTGCCTATTAAGCAGGTGTCATTAGCCCGATTGGAGTTATGTGCAGCTGTGCTATTAACAAAGTTAATTAATTACATTCAGAAGAATAACAAGATTCCATATAGTAAAATTATTGCATGGTCAGATTCAAAAATTGTATTAAATTGGCTAAAGCAATACCCAAACATATGGACTACGTTTGTAGCAAACAGAGTATCGTATATTCAGGATACGTTTAAGAGACAATTTAGATTTGTTCCAGGAAAAGATAATCCAGCAGATATTCCATCAAGGGAAGTATATGGTGACAATCTTATTTCAAATACATTATGGTGGCATGGTTCAAATTGGCTAATAAAAAATGAAGAAAATTGGCCAGAAAATGATGAAGTAATAGATTTGAATCTTATTCCAGAAACCAGAAAAACTGCAATATGTACCGTCGTGAACGTTACCAACGATGAAAAATTTATTAATCGATTTTCCTCTAAACAAACTTCTTCGAGTGACAGCTTACTGTCTTAGATTCGTTTATAATTGCGTTAACCTACATTCGAAACGCACAACTGGGCACATTAAAATTTTAACAACGTGTGGTCACCTAACATATGTGTGACAGCGAATGTCAAAAGCGAGTGAACGAGAGTAACGTAAGTTCGTTGAATAGCGTCAGTTGGATAGCGTCGTGATTAAATATTTTGTTCAGTTAAATAAAGTATATTAACGTTATGTTATTAAATATTTTGTTCAGTTAAATAAAGTATATTAAAGTTATGTTATTAAATATTTTGTTCAGTTAAATAAAGTAAATTAAAGTTATTTAAATAAAGTCTATTAAAGTTATGTACTTAACTCAAAAACCAAATTTAAAGTTTAGAAGTGGGATAGATGCCCTAAAGGGGAGTAATTAAAACGTAAGTTTGAATATTTGGCGCAGAAAAATAAAAAAAACACGAACACAGATATATACGTAATGATGGTGACCATCGAGTCACTGACGAAGGAACAGTTGAAGGACTTCTTACAACAGCAAGAGTTATCAACTACAGGCAATAAGGCGGAATTAGTTGCACGATTAACTGAACACGTGAAGTCAAGCGGCGTAGTTTTGCAATTTACTAACGATAATGAGGAATTGCGGGGTGAAAACGAAGAATTGAGAAAACAAATTAGCGAACTGCGGCTAATGGTGCAACAGGTAGTAATTAACCAGAATAACGTTAGAAACAATCAAAACAGTACTTCAGAAATGCCTAGTAAGAACCGTAACGCGCATTCTATACGAGAAATCGCAGAAGTCTTGCCCGAATTCGACCCAACGAACGAAGATTCTATTACGGCTAAGCAATTTGTCGAACGTGTTGAAGCTGTTATGTCTGTATATGCGTGGCCCGAAAAAAGTGTGCTTCTTGCAGTGTATAGCCGTTTGAAGGGTGTAGCGCGCATGTGGGTGGACGCATCACCAAGAATGCATGCTACTTGGAAGGAGTTCTCAAATGAGCTTGTCATCGAGTTCGGTTGCGAACACGATGAAGCGGATATACATTACAATATGTCGCGCGTTGCTCGAAGGCAAAACGAAATAATAACTGAGTTCATTTTTCGTGTCTCTGCGCTAGGACGACGTCACAATCTTAGTGAGATGGCTATCACGAAATACGTCCAAGAAGGATTAAAACATCGAGAACTACAAATGGCGATTGCTCCGCAAAAATTCGTATCTATTAAAGAAATGCGTGAAACATGCGAGAACTTTTTTCAAAATTGCATTGAGATAAACGAAAAGCCTTTTCATAATGCGAACAAAGAATACAATCGTTCAGTAAAGCAAAGAATGTTATGTGTTACAATTGTGGTGAGTCAGGGCACTTGTCAGTAAATTGTGCAAGACCCCCAAAACGTTCTCGTTGTATAGATTGTAATAAGGTGCACCCCAAAAATGAACAGCAAAATTGCGGAAAACCATCCGCTTTCGTGCGAAAAACAAGTATTATCGACAATAAATTTCTTAAGAAAATAACGATTGATGGCAAGCAAGGCATTGCATTTATGGATACTAAAAGCGAATGTAATATGGTCCGGGAAACATTTGCCAACGATATTGGTGGTACGCGCAGCAAAAACCCATTTATCATCGGTGGATTCGGTGGTGGTATAGAACGATCTGAGATACAAATTGAGACGGATTTGAAAATCGATGAGGTTGAAAAACTGTTGACGTTGCACGTCTTCAAAGATTGTGTGTTGAATTACGATCTATTGCTCGGGGACGAAATATTTAATAGCGAAAATATACGCGCCGTATATGACAACGGACAGTTCAAATTCGCAGACAAAGTAAAAACGACGTGTAAAATTAATAAACTTAGTCCAATAACGGAAGATGACGTGTGTATGGACACTGTAAATGCAGATTCTAAGGGAAAGCTGTTAGAGGTGATGAATGAATTCCGAGAATGTTTCGCTACAGGTATGGATGGAATCGGCAAAACTAGTGTAGTCGAAATGAAAATTGAGTTAATGACCAACGAGGTGATCGCACAAGTCCCGTATAGAGTTCCGGAACGGAAAAAAGAAATCGTTGCGAAGAAAACTCAAGAGTTGTTCGACAATGATATTATAGCTCCGTCTGAATCAGTTATGCGAGTCCAATGTTGCTTGTGAAGAAAAAGAATGGCGAACATCGACTTTACGTGGACTACCTTCGGATTAATCAATTCACTCGAAAAGAATGCTACCCAATGCCCAATATCGAAGAAAGTTTACAAGAAGCAACGAAGTATCGAATCTACATATCGTTAGATCTTAACTGTGGTTATTATCAAATTCCTACAGAACGTAACAGTCGTAAATATACTGCAGTTGTGGTTCCTGATGGTCTGTATGAGTTTAAACGGATGCCGTTCGGGCTGAAGAACGCACCAGTCCTGTTTCTACAATTGATGGCGAAAATTAAAACGCGCTTGGAACTCAGCGATATGATTAATTACATGAACGATATGCTTGTCGGCGGCAACGATGAAGAAGAACTTTTCGGAAAGTTTCAACTAATTTTAGGTGTAATAAAAGAATTTAATTTAACATTGAATTTAAAAAAATGCGAATTTCTGAAAGATACTATCCAATTCTTGGGACATCAGTTGGGACCCAACAGGGTAACGCCGCGTGAAATCAAGACCGAAGCTATACCAAATTTGAACATGCCTACAACGCAAACAGAGGTGCGGCGCTATTTAGGGTTAACGGGATATTTCCGTACGTTTATACCAGGCTACGCAATTATATCCGAACCGTTGCGACAATTACTTAAGAAAAACGCCGTCTTTAAATGGACAGATCAACAAACCAACGCCTTTGTGAGTCTAAATGAAGCACTAACAACCGGACCAGTATTAACAGGCTACCAAGTGGAAGCTGACCATCAAGTGCGTACAGACGCGAGTGCCATCGGACTCGCAGGTGTTTTACTCCAAAATGACAACGGAGATTGGAAGCCGGTAGCGTACTTTAGTTGATCTACCACATCGCTGGAAAGGAAATATCACAGTTACGAATTAGAAACGCTTGCAGTTGTCGAATCTGTGGACCGCTTTAAATATTACATCTATGGAAAGTCGTTTACGGTCATTACCGATTGCAATGCTGTAAAATTGGCCATGCAAAAGCGAGAAATGATATCTTGTATAGCCAGATGATGGCTTCGTATCTAAGACTATGACCTCATCATCGAACATCGAAGCGAGCAACGAATGGCGCACATCGACGCACTAAGTCGTATGCCTAACGAAGACGGTTGCGATCTTGAGGAAGCGACTTTGCGAGTCTGGAAGGCGGAAATAACTGAGGCAGATTGGCTTTACAGTATGCAATTACAAGATAGCAAACTTCAACAAGTCGTAATGAAAATTGAGGAGAAGGATTCAGACATTATTAACGACTATAAAATGATTAACGGACGACTGTACAAACGGTATAAAAACCAACAGCTCTTCGTAATACCAAAGGCTTTGCGATGGAAGGTGACACATGATGCACATGTTAAAACAGGACACTTAAGCCTTGACCGAAAGATTGAATACTTACTACGTTCTATGTGGTTCGCTCGAATGCGAAACTTTGTCAAATCTTTTGTGAAAGCGTGCATTGATTGCGTCTTCACTAAGCGTTGAGGAGGTAAAAAGGACGGTGAGTTACATTGCGACAAAATGGAGCTTATTCCGTTCAAAACAATACACATTGACCACCTGGGACCTTTTCCCCGAAGCCGAAAGTTAAACGAGTATGTCCAGGTTGTTGTGGACAGTTTCACAAAATTTGTCATCGTCAGACCAGTGAAAAGTACGAACACTAAACAAGTCATCGCCATTCTGAATGAAGTTACCAGTTACGTTGGAACCCCTGAAAATATAATAAGTGATCGTGGTACCGCCTTTACGTCAAAAAAAATTTGAAAGATACTGTAACGATCAACAAATCAAACACATACGCAACGCAGTCCGTACGCCACGAGCCAATGGCCAAGTCGAACGATTTAATCGCACCGTTTTATCCATGCTGCAACCATCAACACAAGATGACCGAACCTGGGACGAGCAACTACGAAGCATTCAATGTACATTGAACTCACTGATTAGGCAAACGACGGGAAAATCTCCAAACGAATTGCTTTTCAGATTCAAGCCACGCGACATATTAGGTAACAAGCTGATCCAAATTCTCCAAGATGAAGACGATACTATTCCCATCACCCAAGAAGAACTCCACCGCCGACGATTACTTGTTGCTAATAACACCGATAGTAAACGGGTAAACGCGAAAAAGCGTTTCGACGATAAACACAGGAAACCAACGAAATATGAGCAAGGTGATTTAGTTCTAGCAGAACGAGAACCAGCATCCACAGGCACGTTCCGTAAACTTAAATGTCGATATAAAGGACCGTTCGTAGTCACCGAAATTCTCGATCATGACCTTTACGTCATCGAAGACCTACCAGGATCCGATTGAAAACAACGACTTTATAAATCAGTTTATGCGTTTGATCTCCTAAAGCCATGGTGTCAATTGTCGTACGAAGAAGAAACTGATTCCGAGCGCGAGGACGCTTGACGTCAGGAAGGGCCGACTGTTAACCTACATCCGAAACGCACAACTAGGCACCTTGAAATTTTAACAACGTGTGGTCACCTAACATATGTGTGACAGCGAATGTCAAGAGCGAGTGAACGAGAGTAACGTAAGTTCGTTGAATAGCGTCAGTTGGATAGCGTCGTGATTAAATATTTTGTTCAGTTAAATAAAGTATATTAACGTTATGTTATTAAATATTTTGTTCAGTTAAATAAAGTATATTAAAGTTATGTTATTAAATATTTTGTTCAGTTAAATAAAGTAAATTAAAGTTATTTAAATAAAGTCTATTAAAGTTATGTACTTAACTCAAAAACCAAATTTAAAATTGTCAAAGAAAGAAATCCGAAAGAAAGTTCGACAACCTGACGGCAGACGATATCGATGTAGCGGAAATTGTGTTGGTGAAGCAGGCGCAAAAATGTTTTACAGATGACATCAGACTGCTTAATCTTCAGAAACAATTAATGAAGAGTAATAAGTTGTGTTCATTAAACCCATTTGTTGACAGTGCAGGAGTACTAAGAGTGGGCAGCAGATTAAGAAATGCGGATTTATCTGACAACCAAAAGTATCCAATAATTTTATATACAACAAGTACTTTGGCCAAACTCATGATCAATCAGGCGCATATTAATACGATTTATGGAGGATTAAAATTGACGCTAAACTACGTCCGGGAAAAGTTTTGGATTATTCGTGGAATAATCGCTGTGAAGACTTGCATCAATAAATGTGTAAAGTGTTTCCGGATAAAGGCAAAAGGACAATCTCAATTAATGGGAAGTTTACCAACACCAAGAGTGAATTTATCAGGGCCATTTACACACTGCGGCATAGACTATGCAAGACCATTGCACATTAAATGCTCTCAATTCAGGGAAATTAAAACGAATAAGGCGTATATAGCTATTTTTGTATGCCTGGCAACAAAGGGAATTCACATTGAGTTAACTTCAGATCTGACATCTCAAGAATTTTTAGCAGCACTCAAACGAATGATAAGCAGACAATGATACCAATTTTACAGGTGCAAACAACATTTTACAGTAGATTCAAATAGAGAATTATTTAGCCGAAACAGGTATATGTTGGCATTTTATCCCTCCTGGCTCACCTCACTTTGGTGGTCTCTGGGAATCAGGAGTAAAAACCATTAAATATCATCTAGCTAGGATTTTAGGTGACCAAAAATTGACATACGAGGAATTAAGTATGGTCTTAACTCAAATCGAATGTTGTCTTAATTCACGGCCACTTTGTCCATTAACAGACAACATTGAAGACCTTAATGCACTTACACCAGGACATTTCATTGTGGGATCGTCATTGATGACTCCAGCGCATGATTGTCTTATTAACTTTACAGAAACTTGCCTAAAAAGATGGAAGATTGTGCAGAAAATAAAGCAAGACTTTTGTAAACGGAGGTTCCAAGACTATATAAGAAACATTCAACAACAGAGATACAAATGGACAAAATCAATATCAAACTTAGAAATTGGTCAACTATTCCTATTGAAGGACGAAACATTAATATCATCAACGTGGCCTCTAGGCAGAGTCATAGAAGTTCATAAATGAACAGATTGCTTAACCCGAGTTGCTACAATTAAAACCCAAAAAGGGATAGTAAAACGTACGATCCAAAAAATATGTCCCTTGTCAATCACTGATAATGTCAAAGAAGATCATATTCCGTCAAATCAAGAGAAGTTCCCAAATTCAGTTAGAGTGTTTGAAGCAACATCAATCAAAACAGATTCAGACACTCAAACTATGTTACCATTGGGAAACATTGTCAGAAATAAAGAAGAAGTTCCGACAAATTCTACTGTAAGAAATCTTAGAACGCGACGACAATGGTTATCGCCTAGGCAATCAAAATCGACAGTTCTTGCTATATTTTTAGCATATCTCACATTAGGAACTACATTAGCAACACCAACAGTAACATATCCCGAATCAGGATTATTCATTGAAGGATTAGGCAATGCAAAAATACAAAGAGGAACACTTAGAACCACTATCACATTTCCAATCCGTGACATAATTCAAGATCAAAGGAACGTTAATAACACCATAAAACAATTAACAATGTTGTGTACCAAATCAAAGGCTGTCAGTCCTTATATACAATGTGACGATTTAGTTTCCAATTTAAATCATGAAGGGCGCATCTTAAGAACTACCATTGATCGATTGTTGACGGCAGAATCATCAGTTACAAGAAGTCCCCGAGGAATATTAGGTACAATGTTAACAACACTTTTTAGCGTCAACGATGAAGTTTATCACGACATTGAAACGTTGGATCAAAACCAGAAATTATTAATCCAAAATACCAAGTCAAATGCTAGAATCATGATATCCACAATAGCGGCAGTAAACAACACAGAAACTGAAATCATCAACAAAGTCAACAGCTTTAGTAAAAGACTAAACGAAGGATTGCAGGCTATCAGTCAGATGCAAGGTTGGCATGATATCGGAGAAGGAAATAAACTGAACATATATGTACTTAATTCATATAT